TCTGATGAAAATATTGCCATGAAAATATTTATGGAAAAGGCACAGGGAAGCTACATTAAGGTGATAGGAAAATGACCAAAGCTGAGATGCTAGTTCGATACCGCTAACATTGCAGATTCTTTGGACATTCTTGAGAATATCCCAAAGTACAAAAATTTAAATATCTAAGAAGTGTTCTGACAGAGAACGGAGAATGCAATACTGAAATCTGAAGGCATATTGGAACACTGAAAGATGCCTTCCAGAAGTTAAGCATTAAGAATCAGGAAAATTTCATTAGAAACAAAGAAAAGAATACTGCACTGTTATGTAATATTAGCCCTCTTCAGTGAATGCTGAATAATCTCCTCACAGATGAAGCAGAGACATGAAGCAACAGAAATGTGGTTCTACAGGAGGAGGATGAGAATACCATTGACTGAACATGTGAGCAATGACAAAATTTTAGAGAAAATGGAATCAAAAAGGAGACTTAGAATCAGAAAAAATTAAAATTTCTAGGCTACATAATGAGGAAAGAGGGCTTAGAAAAGTTGATACTCACAGGGCATGTTAAAAGCAAGTAGGACAAAAAGCAGCAAATAAGCCTACCTAATGAGCTTGTATAAATGTTTGGTTGAAGAGGGATTAGGAGAGATAGCAAAAAGACAAACATTGCTAAGAGCTATACAAAACAGAAAGTTGTGGAGAGCCATGATCATCACATCCTGAAGGGATATGGTACATAGAAGATAAATATCAAAAGCAGCAGACTATATGAGGCAACAATATTCAATGTATGGATAAACGCTAGACTTATAAAGGTGCAAATATCTAAACTTCTTTACTGTTCTTGTTATATTCATGAAAAAGAAGATATTTTATCTTCAAAGATGTAAATTATTTGTTTTGATATAGCAAGAAAAGGAAAATAACGAAATTGGCAAGATATTTGACATTTTCAAATGTTATTTTGTCATTTGCTGAATATTTTTATTATTATGATGTCTCCTCTCCTTGACTTAGGGTCATATCTGTTTGAAACACCAATTCTCATACAATCACCAAAGTTAAGCAATGTCAAGCCTGGTCAATACCTAGATAGGTGTTAACATGGGAATATCAGGTTCTGTAAACTTGAATATGTAGGTGATGTAATGGATAATGACTCAGAATTAGAAACTGGGGAGCCAAGTTCCAATTCCAATTGTGTTCGTTATATTCACTTATACCCTTGGGAAAGGTATGAACCCATCTCTTTTATCCCCAGCTAGGGGTTATTAATTAGTAGGACTTGTATCAGTAAATCATTATCATCTTCAAAATTTCTTACTATCTAAAAATATTTCTGGCTTTAAATAACCTGAAAACAGTTAAGCCATAAAAAAGAAACAAATCGATCTACTATACTTCCCAATCTCCAACCTTGTTACAAACAAATAATAAATCATTTTATGGTAGATAAATATAGATAAGTATTTCTCTATATCATTCAATCTTTTGATAATCACATAGAAATATAATATTTGTGGTGATTGTTATTTGTTATATGTTTTATATAAAATCAAAATGTCTGAGGAATTATTCATATTGAGGTCATTATAATGAATACCTTAACTGTGGTTTGAATCTTATGCTCCAGTTAACTATTCTCTTCCTCCAATTTGGTAGATTCCAACAAGCAGAGGATTTGTCAAATCTGATAATGAAAATGGACTAAACCATTTGATTCTGTATAGTGATTTACTAAGTGCATCTTAGATGTGGCACAAGGCCAAAAGTATGGAGCACCTAGTGAGAATCGAACTTACTATTTAGTTATAACTGATATAGAGACAATGCTAACCATTACACCTTGCTGAAATCCCCCAAAGTGATTTAGTAGGCATAGCTTACTTGTGAGACATGCATGGAGCCCAGTGAGGACTGAATTCACTATACAGTTATAATTGATCTAGCAAGACAAGCTTGCTAACCATTACACCAGGTCAAAGTGCCCTAATGATTTTCTTAGTGTAGCTTAAATGTGGCACAAGTCCGAAAGTATGGGGCACCTAGTGAGGATCAAACTTCCTACTTAATTATAACTGATCTAGCGAGACAAGCTTGTTAAGCATTACAACACATTGTAGTGCCCCATTTGGTTCAGTATATAAACACCCCTACCCCACCCCCAAACAATGTCTTCTTAATCAGTTCTTATCTCTGCCTGAGCAGGTAATACCAACTGTGACTTCTATTTCTGTTATATTTCTCATTAAATATAATAAAAAAAAAGAATCTTAAAACATATCTGTGTATGAAGGTAATTCTGAAGAACATTTTTGTAATCAATATTTGATTAGCTAAAAAGAACTAATCAAATTAGGATCACTCCTTGTTTGTTAATGAAATATCGATTATCTCCAAGTATATACTTCTAAATATTCTCATTATTACACGCATTGACTTAAATACTTATTGCCAGCCTTTTATGGAATGATTTAATTTTTATAAATTAAATTTATATCCTGCTTATTTGATTTTTATTGCTTCAGTTCTGGAAAAAACCTGGAGATATTAAAGGAAATTACCAAAACCAAAGGAAGTGTAGGCGATGTAATGATATCAGTGCTGAAAAGAGAATTGTCAAACAGAGTTCAAATTCTGGACTAGTTTGTTACATTCATTTTCATACTTATACCCTTAGAGAAGGCAAGAATCCATCTCTCCCTATCTATAGGTTAAATAGCAGAGTAAATTGAACTTGGCAGCCAAGGAAAATGGTGAATTGAAAACCATGGGGAAGGCAATGATAAACCCACTCCAGTATCTTTCTCAAGAATGAATAGTAATTTACAGATAAAGAAAAGGAATGTGTGGAGAGCCATGTTCACCTATGTCCTAAAAGGACATGGCATCTAAAAATATTTTTAACAAAATGACAACAGATAATAAAGAAAAGGAATGTGTGGAGAGTCATGATCATGTATGTCCTTGAAATGATTATGGCATTGAAAAAAGAAAAAAAATGATCAAAATTTTGCTATTAAATTCAGATTTGTGCTTTTAGATTTGAAAAGATTAAATAATAGGAAAGGAAAAAATAATTTTTGATTTGCCTTATTCTGAATATGGCTTCCATCAAAATTTATAAAAGAATCGCTAAGTAAATACTTTGAAAAAAATGTTTAGAATGTAAAACAACTTGCATGAAGAATATGTAAATATATTTCTGATTCTGTAGTTTTTGCAATTCAATATTCTATTGTTAATCACTATGGCTTTGTTTAGTCTACAATATCTTTTATAGCAAGCTTAAGTTCCTGTCTTAGATATTTTAGATAAAGTATTGTCAACATTGTATTTTATTTCATTCTAATTTCTTCAGTTTTGTTTTTGTATCACAACATTTTGACCTGGTCTTTCTCAAGTATCTTGGAATGTTCTTGAACCTTGTGATTGGGTGGTGGTGGGGGGGTATTTACCCCCTTTTACATTTCACATTTGGTGTCTGTTGCTTTTGGCTACTGGAGCAGTCATTCCCTGACTAAACAATGAACATGTAATACATCACCAAACTTGGTAAATTTCACAGGCACTTCTATTTTTCAGTTGTGCTTTTTGTAACCCCAAATTTAACTTCAGTATTTCTTGAACAATTGAACATATTTTTCCATATAGATGTCATTGTCAGCATAACATTTCAAGCATCCAATTCTTCAGCTTTGGTCTGGTCTATTCAGTGAAAATGAAAAATTAAAAATACCAACAGAAAATGGTTGTTTATATACTAAAGAGACCAATCCATATTGACAGTTTTAAGTAGACTATGTCCTGGTGGTGGTGGGGGGGTATTCCAAATTATACTCATGAGTGTTTCCTGGCATCTACTTTCCTAAGCAAAGAAAAGCACGTACTATGAAAACAGCCTACAATGCATCTAGCCAACAAGCTGATATATGCTGTCTCTTTCAATTTTCTTACTCTCCAGCAGTGCTCCATATCAACTGTTTGGATCTTATACACCAAGAATGGGAGTAATGTATACTTTTCTTCCCCTAGATAAGCTCCATCCTACTTGATTGAATTGGGCAAAATATTTGAAGAATCTCATTTTTATGAATAATATTGGGTGGATTGATTACTCTATTCAAAGTTCTAGACCAAACATTTTTGAGTGCCCCACTCCTTTGCATACCAAAACACAACCCTAACATCCTTGCCCCCAAAGTATAATCAAGCTTTGATTGGGTTTTCTTAGTGCTGGTATTGCATATCAAATGAGTATCATAGTATTTCTCATTATAATTGTTATATAAATGGGATAAAAAAAAAACAAGAAGTTGAAGATTCATGGTTCAAAAGCCAGGGGAAGACAGTGGACCATCTTTGCCCTTCCCCACAAACCCAGACAATTCTAGGATGCAGCACATTGCTATAGACCTCTCTGATTTTGGCCCATTTGCCTATGGGTGTATCACCCAAGGCACTTCAAGAGAGAATGAGAAACAAGACATACCTCAGATACTATGAGTGTCTTGTGTGGTGGTTCAGATGTGCCACTACCACCCTCTTGCTGCCTACTTTTTTCTTAGTTTCCCCCAAGACCTTTCTCCAACTCCCAAGGATGGCATCATCCATTTTGAGAATTAGCTCATACCAAAATTCCTTATTTGTTTTTTAAAAAGCAGAACAAAAAACAAAACAAGAAAAAAAAAAAACATATTACTACCACCTCCATATTATAAATGCTCAGTGTCAAGTTAGAGGATCTAGGGAATATGCTGCCCATACAATGTTCCAATGTATAATATTCAAAAATGGTCACATTTCATCAAACTGAAACCTCCCTTGGGAGTAAGCGTAATACCATACAAGGATTAGAACAATTATAGAGAAGAATAATGATATAATAATTTAGTCAAATTGACCTTTGAAAATCTTTCATTATATTGGTTAGAAAAGTGAAAACTATGAACAATCTAGTATTAGATTTTCCTTTTTATCCAATCTTAGTATCTTTTGTTTATTTATTTCAGAGTATTGAGCTCCATGGATTACGCCCATACACATTCTATAATATTGTTGTGAAAGCATTCAACAAGGTAGGAACTGGGCCAGATGGTGTCGTTCTCTGTCAGACTTCTGAAGGATGTAAGTTGCTTTCTTTCTTTTCCTTTTTTCTTTTTTTTTTTTTAAATTCTGTTTTTCATTTAATCTAGCTTAAATTAAGTAAAATCACATGCGCTTGTTGCTTGTGAGAAACTGGACACCTTTGCAGTGTTTCCAAGTGGAACCAAAATAATTCTTTTGTATTCAAATTGCTTGTATTATGGAAATATCGGGTAAATTATCAATATTGGAAGGTTGGGATGTAGTTATGTGTAACACTTGCTCATATAAATAATATATGTAGGGGGGGGAATGTATGACAAAGTAGGGAAAAAGTTTTCATATGATATATTTCATCCTTTAGGACTATATTGTACTAAATTTATGTTGGTACCACTATAAATGTGGATGAACAAGGAATGCTAGTAATTTTAAATTTAAATTTTTATATCATCATAATAATAATAATAGTCTAGCCAATTTTATTTAGATTCTTTTTCTTTTTGTTTCCATCACTTTTTTTTTTATTAGATATCCTACACACTGTGATATTGAATAACACACACACACACACACACATATATGTAAAAATTTCCACCATTACTCATTGATGTGCATATGTAGTCACACCAACATAACAAATTTAGTCCAATGAAATACTAGAGGGTGAAATGTGTCACACACAAACTTTTTTGGCTTTGTTATACATTTCCCCCTATATATATATATTGAAATGGACTAAGTCTGACAATTATTGTAATATATTTTCTGTTTATACATTATTTTCATAGATATAAATATTTAAGTAAATGTTCTGTTTATAATAAATAGTATTAACAACATTGAATATCTGAAAAATTTCATAAAAGCTATGTCCTTTGACAGGAATCGAACCTGTATCCTACAAAAAATGTCATATAGCATGGCATGCTTATACCATTTAGCTACAGGGAAAGTATCTGGTTAGCAAAGTCAAATTACTGTTTTTAAACTACAAATTCCATGATTTCTCTCTAACACTCATATCTGTTCAATGTAAACAAATGACATCATATATTATGAAATGAACTAAGTCTGACAATTATTTTAATATATTTTCTGTTTATAATAAACTTAGTAGATTTGGTTTGACCTATACCTGATAAAGGCTAGAGGGTACAATAGCCAAAACGTGATAATAACAACAACAAAGTTGAGGACAGTAGTCGACATGTAAATAATGGAAATCAATGGTTCCCAACCTTTTTTTTAGCTCCTGGCCCACTTTGGATCCAGAATTTTTCTGTGGCCCATAAAATTATCATCATGTAAAAAATTGTTTCCATTTTGTGGCCCAGTAAAAATTATAAAATTTCTGTGGCTCACTTGAAATTTGCCATGACCCATTTTGGCCATGTGGCTATAGGTTCGGAAACACTGGTATAAATAACAATTTACTGTTTTGTGTAAAAAAAAAAAAAAAAAATTCTTTTAAATTGGAAACATCTAGAGAAAGCTCACAAAAAATAAATAAATAAATAAATAAAAATCAGTTATTGGCAACCTGATATTCCCAATTAATTCATATTAATGAAATATTCTATTGTTATTGGTGTTGAGTAATGTCATCTATTAACAATGGAATATCTTATTACTATGCAGGTGAGATTATGACTCATGACATCACATTGTGTTTAATGTAATTAAAAACTTTTTAGGTAAATATAAACTTGGCAGATGAAAATGCTGGATGATATTTCCTTTCAAAGTTTTAGATGCCAAAGTTTTATTGCCAATTTGACCTCTGCATTTTCTGAGTGACTATCACGATAAAATACATCTGGCTGCAAGGCATCTGATCAGGAAATTAGAGGTTTTTAGGAACGGGGAACCACCGTATTTGCTCTTTCATCCAGGTTCACTCTGACTCAGAGTGGTAGTACCTGTTAGGGTCCTAGCTATGGGAAACTAGTACCCCCCACCTAACAAAAATCAAGATATTAGGTTGGTTGGTTGATTTTGTTTACTGACATATCAATCTCTATGGGTTATTTAATGACAAAATCTAAATATTTTGAATGCAATTGCATGCCTTCAATCACAGAAGATGCATTGGTCATTTTTCTGTAAAATATATTGTTGGTAATTCTACTATAAAATTTATTGCTGGTATTTTTACACTTTCATAGTGTTTTATGGGAGATTCACTATTTACCCATGACTGGGACCCTAACAAGTGCTACCACACCCAAAACACTAGGAAAGTTACCAGCAGTACATTAACAAAAAAAAAAAAGAAAATTACCGACAATACATTTTATCAGCTATAAACTATATCTCTAAAAAAGCATGTTTACTCTGAAAGTATAAAATTATGTACTAAATATCTGTAGTGTAGATTTAAGAAAAAAAAAAGCATCCATAGATGTTGATATGCCACTAAATAAAATCGAGTACAATCATAAACTCATATTATCACCAACAGAAAGGAAATATATTAAGAAGAGATTCCAAGATTACAGGCAATTCTCATACTGATGATATTGCAAGATATTATTGGAGTGACCCTGTGTTGATGGTAGTGATGCTTCAATACTAAACCATGTCTGACTTAAGAGTCATGATTAGATAAAAGCTTTGTTAGAAGCACTGTTGCTCTGTTTACAGTTATAAGAATTTAATCTAAAATAAAGTTTAAAAAATGCTTTGGTTTTAGACTAATTTAGCATGAAAAAAACATACCAAAACTCAGGTAATTTGACATGGTTAAAATAATTGTGGTATTGCGTCCTGTTTTCAGCCTAGTTAGATGCCATATAATCGAAAAATAGTTAATATCAGCAGGCAACCTTCAAACTGTGCTTGTAATGAGCTTTATTTTAATTATGCAGTTTGCATATAACTTTCACATCACTATTTTCTTTCATTTCAGTGCCCAGTAGGCCGCGTATTATCCACTGCACACATATCTACTCCAGTTCTTTGCGGGTGAACTGGGAGGCACCTACAGAGCTGAATGGTAAACTTTTAGGCTATCAGCTGGTGTGGCGGTACAATGGTGAGAATTTTACCAAGAATATCACAAAAAAGTTAACTGATCCCATGACGGCCTTAGTTACTGGACTAAGTAAGTTATGTTTATTGTGTACATTTTCATTAGTAATTTATTTAGGGTTTCTTGTTACTATTTGTGTTTTTGTTTTTTTGTTACCATCATTGTTGTTGGAAAGTTTTCTTTGAGAGTGGATGAGATTTAATGCCATATTCAGAAATGTATATGGAATTGGCATTACTTAAAACAAAAAAAAAACAAAAAACCCGGAAATGATCAGCTGACTATTTTGAGTAAATTCTTTGATTCAAAATGGTTACTATTTATTTGTTTGTAAGAGAAATTCTTTTAAAATTTTCTCTTTTTAATGATTCCACAAAATAGTTAGTGTCTAAGATAATATTGAAAAAAAAAATCATTGAATGGATTATAGTTCTTGTCAACATGGCAAAAAACTTTTTTGTCCTTAGCAGATATTTTGAAAGTTTTATTTGATAGTCTATCAATAATTCAGAAATAGTGTTTATCTCATATATATATATATATATATATATATATATATATATATATATATATATATATATATATTATTTATATATTATATAGTGGTACTTATTAGAAAGCGCTGAATATCAGAGATAGAGCCAACATATTTGGTTGGATTAATGTGAGTTTGTGACCCTGGGTTTCACGCTTTTGCGATCGTCAGACAATCACAAAAGCATGAAACCCAGGGTCAAATAAACTCACATCAATCCAACAAATATATATATATATATATATATATATATATATATACACACAAAGGCAGTTATTGAAGAGTTCTCAGCCTGACAAAGGAAAAGATTTAAAAATAAATAACTATTCTGATGTTTGATTTATGGATGTGTGGCTAGTATAAGGGATAGCAAATTGGACAAAATCAGAGAGCCAAATTCAAATTCCAGTCAGGTTCATTACATTCCCTTATGAATCCAAATCTTCTCCCCACCAAGCTATGGTTTAAATGGCTGGGCAGTCTGGATACTTTAGTCTTGGTTGGAAACCAGTCTAAGAGAACAATCCTGAATTCAGAAACTGGTTGTATATGAGATTAGCAGCTTCATCCTGTTAAATACCTACTTGCTACAAGAAGCATGGCAGAAACACCTTGTATTATCGAGAACTGTAAAACCCCCTCCACCCCATGTTACCCAGCGATCTACAAGTCTTGAGTGTGTGATGATTGATCTTATTATCTTAAATTTTGGGTGGATTGAGCAGAGAACTTTCAGAACCTCCTTTTACATATGCGCACACACACAAACACACATATATATATATATATATATATATATAACACACAAGGTGTATCAAAAATATTTTTACAAACTTTGGGGTAGGTTCCTCACACCAAAACAAAGACAAAAGTCCATATAGTCATATGTCTGCAAAATCCTGTTTTTTCGAGTTATTGAGTTTAAAGAAAATTTATGGTAGATGGCACTGTGTTACCGTGTAGACTAGGTTACATTTGTCATACATGTAAATTTGGGGCTAGTCTGTCTTCAACGTTTAATGTGTGTAGTAGTGAGTTAACTGAGAAGTGTTCTGTTTAACAATGGCAGGATATTCATATTGTGATCAGGCAGATGTGATTTTTGAATACGGATGTGCAAATAGTAATCGATACGAGGCTGCATCAGATTAAGTTTCCAGATCAAGGTAGCTGAGTCACTGAACCATTGCTATTGTTTATTATCAAGCTGCTGAGACAGAATCTGTACCACCACAAACTATGGGTTGAGGAATACCAAAATCTGCTCATATACATTCTACAGATTGTTGGTGATGATCCAGGTATCAGCATTAGCATGTCATATATCTCATAGTACCACATGTAAGGTACTTCAAGAGCAGCTCCTGTATCCATGTCATTTGCAACATGTGCAGGTATTTTGTCGTCTGATCACTCACCACAGGAAAACTTTTACCAGTGGTTTATTTCAGAAACTTTTGATCCATTGTTTGTCTCTTCAGTATTGTTCATGGATAAGTCAACATTTGGAAGAGAAGGAATAACAAATTTACACAACCAACTTTTGTGGGTAGATTGGAATCCCCATGATACAATACAGGCTAGACACCAGCATCAGTTTACAATTAATGTGTGGGTTGGAATTATAGGTGACTGTCTGGTAGGTCCATATGTTCTTCCAGCATATCTTACAGGAGCTGTCTACTAGGACTTTATTTTGATCGTACTTCCAGACCTGCTAGAGGATGTACCCCTGCTAATATAGACGTATGTGGTTCATGCATGATGGGGTTCCAGCACATTTTTGTTCATGATGCACTGGCTGATATCTACCCTGAAAGATGGATTGGTAGGGGAGAATCAGTTCCATGACCTGCATGTTTCCCCAATCTCAATCCTTTGGGTTTTCATCTGTGGGGACACCTAAAACAATTGGTTTATGCAGCAGACATTAATAATGCAGAAATGTTTTATCAATGTGTCATAGGAGCCTGCAAAAGCATCCAACACTGTGTGGGAGTATTTTAAAGGGTCCACCAATCAATGATCCAAATGGAGAGATATTTGAACATTTGTTATAAGTTGCTGTATAACAACGTGATGACTTTTTTGAACATATGCTTATATGGACATTTTCCTTTGTTTTTGTGTCAGGAACACCCCCACCCCCCAGTTAGTAAAAGTATTTGGTCATTTTTTCTTGGTTTGCACATTTAACAGTATCCATTGTAAATTTTAAACTTAATAACTCGAAATATAGGATTTGTGGACATATGTTTATATAGACTTTTGTCCTTGTTTTGGTGTGAGGAACCCACTCGCAAAGTTTTTAAAAGCGTTTTTGATACACCATATATATATATATATATATATATATGTGTGTGTGTGTAATCATTTGTATATAGGTTGCTAGGGATTTCTCTGCTTTTTTAACTGCATTTTATTATGCATTTAAAAAATAGAATTATTTAGTGTATAATTATGAGACACTATGCACAGTAAATGGTCAGAACTTGTGAAAAAAGTAGAGATAAAAAAGGAAACATTTTGTTTACTTTGATTCATAAGCATTATGAAAATGTAATAATCATTTTGTATTTTTTTTATTTTTCTGTCGTAAATTAAATGATATGAATGTTTTCCAAACTCTTGTAAGTGTCTAGACTCGATGAAATCCAGAAAAGTTATGGAATCATGTAGGGTTTAGAGAATCATGAAATATTTAATTCTCTTTGTTGTAATCCGCCATTAGGTAGATTTTATCTTTCCAGTAGACAGATAAGTCCAATTTAACCTGATTTTTCTCCATTTTGAGTCCTGAAAAAAAAAATGAGATTTAGTTTTAAACCAAACTATAAAATGCAACATACTTCTGGACATGATTTTGGTTGCAAAAATCTGTGTCTTATACACACAGGATTATTTATTTAGTTAGTTGGTTGTGTATATATATATATATATATATATATATAGAGAGAGAGAGAGAGAGTAGAAAATTGATTAAGAAAAGTACCAAAATTTTCTTTCAAATAATTATTTTCCCAAGTACTCAGTACTCATCCGAGACCATCTTTAGTTGGTTAAATTGTCTGCGTATATATATTTCTGTAAATTCAAAACCTTTTTACAGTTTGTTTTACATTTTTATTCTATATCAATTTCAGATTCACAAGGTTTTTATATATATATATATATATATATAAAATATAACTGCTCTGTCTCTATGGTTATTGAAATTTCCTTATAACATTTTGCATTTGAGCCATTCTTGTTTTTAATTTTGCCCATTTTTCTAAAAGTGATAGATATTATATTCTTTGTAATCTAAACGATACAAAAAACTGACCTGACATTCAAATTTTTTGTTTTTTTGTTATCTATTTGAATCTTGTTCTATCAGTTGTACCCTCAATCTCACATCCTATGCTTATGTTCTCTGTCTATGGTTATAGACAAAGTAAGATTAAATTGTTTTCAGGTATCTTACAAGCATTGAATTTGCATATAGAATTATAGCTTTTCAACTTTTGGTCAAAGTTTTTCTTCTTGGATAATTTCTGTTAAGGAATGGATATTTTCTATTTACACTATTTACATTGTTTGAAATGTTGTCCTCATCATTATTGTCATATTCACAGTGTTTCAGCCATTGTGTGCTCCGGCCTTCAATAGGTGATATACATTGGAATTTCAAACTGAATGCTTTATTTCATCCACTGGGATAGATTGTTCTAGTTCCACGTGCCATGCCTCTTCTGTTCATCTCAGTTTCAGTTATTTCCCTTTAGTAACTCGACTCTCCAAGTTTTTTGTTCACGTCTGCTGTGGTCAGGTATTGAACTCAGAACTGTTTCATTCAAGTCACTGGATTACTTCAACCTATGCTTTTATCCACTGGGACAAAATAAAGTATTCAATTCAAAATTCCAGCATAAATCACATGAAGAAAGCCAGAGCTTACAATGGCCGAAACATAGTGAATATCACAATAAAGATAAGGACAACAGTCTGAAAAATGTAAATAATGAAAATAGTTACAATACATCGTCTCGGAAATATAGACAGATGTTGAACATTTCCTGTTTATAGAAAGCAACCTTGACTTGAAAGCCTTTAGTGTTTAAACCAAATTTGTAATTTAATGAAATACCCACTTATAGAATTATTTAATAGAAACATATACAAGAGAGAAGGTTACGTTCTTTCCTTCATAATAATATTGTTGATTATGCTAAAACTGGATGTGCAGGTGGTGTAATGGATCCGAAACCAGATGTCAAATTCCAGTCAGGTTCGTTACATCTATTTATATGCAAATACCCTTGGGAAAGGCATGAATCCATCTTTTCTTCCTCTATAGCCAAGTAACAGGACAGACTGAGCACTATAGTCTTGATGAGCAACCAGTCTAAGAGAAAGAAAACTGAATTCAAACCAGCCTGAAGAGGGTTAGGCTCCATTAGGCTATCTTGACCAGGACACACTATTTCTGCTACAGCTGTAGTACATGTGGTACCCACTAGGACCCTAATGGGTTACAGAACTCATAATGCTAAAACTTGGAGCTGATATTAATATTCATTTTGTGGTATTTCTTCTATTTTTGTTGCTTAGTAAAATTGCTGCAGGGAGAAATACTTCAGCAGCCATATTAAGGCCAACTGTGAATATTTATATTAATGCTTGTAACTTGTTTTATGATTAGGCATGTGAGAGAAGCTCAATGTATTTTAATGGAAAGTAGTTTTGTTTGGCACGAAAACGAGCCCAACCCATTTTTTTTTTTTTAAACTTGATTTCAAGGGTCATCATAAAACTTGGAATTTTTGCAATTTTCATTGTATGCTGTTAGAGTTTCTGTATATGTTATGTTCCTGTTTTTTGGTTTTGATTGCCAGGAATTACATGAGAAATATTTTGGCAAATTCTCTGCTGCTGCTGCCCTACTTTATTCCAGCCAAATTTTAGACATTTCTTTTGTATATATCTTTCTGCTTCTATTCATACATAATTGGTACTGATCTATAATTTATGATTCTTGCAGTGGGGTGGAGGGTATCTTGAAGATTTGGGACAAGATTTTTTTTTATTTATATTTTTGTAAACATGAACTGGTACTTGTTCAGTAAGAAAGGAAGTACATTTAAAAATGAAATCTGTTTAGTAAAGAAATAAATGGAATCTGATTTATTTTGGCAAGTTAAGAGTGCAGCACAAAATTCTTTTTTCTTTGCTTTTGAGAAGTGGTTGATTTAGATGAAATTACTTTTGTTGAACAGTGCAGTGATTCTCAACTGAGGTTCATATGGACCCTGGGGTCCATGTAACATTACTGGGGGTTCCTACAAAAAATAGCAAAATGGGGGTCCATAGTAGTATTTTAGTGATCCATAGAACAATTTCACTCTGGAACGTTTGTTACAACTGAGAATTGGAATTTCTACAGTAATCTACACCATATTAAAATACTAAAAATAAAAAAAAAACAACTCTAAATCTATCAGAAAATGAGATAAAGTCATGTAAGTTTTAGCATCCCTTTTGCTTTACCAGATGTAAACATTTTTAAATGGTTTATTATGAGTTATTTTAATAGTGTACATAAATTTCTCTTCTGTATATAGCTTACAAAATTTTTGGTCTGTTTTATATTTGGGGCATTTTTTTTAATATTTCCCATTTAAGGATGGGGTCTTTATCGTTTTCCTGTCTAGTTTTCCATACATAGGTGGATAGCATGGTACTATGTTTAGTTTTTTTGTTTTTAAAACTACTCATGTGATTATAATATCTTTTTGAAAAAATATCCTGAGTAGCACCTATGTATACTTTAGGGTTTGTATCCTTCATATCCTTATAAATTTACCTATATATATATATATATATATATATATATATATATATATATATATATATATATATATATATATATATATATATATATATATATAAGTGCTTGAAGCCTTAAAGAGTTAAGAGATATTTTAACCTTTTAAATTGTTAAAAGAAACAGTACCAAAGAAGGTTCTTTTTCATAAAAAAGAAATAAATAATTATTATCACCCTAATCTTCTCAAATTACAAGGTGTCTTATGGTGACATGAGGCATGTTTACTTATTCTTACTATAACAAAATAACTTATTACTAAAAAGAGGAAACCAAATTTCATGACCAATAAATGATTTAAATACCAGATTTATTTTATATCGTAAAATAAATTCTGTTTGTGTTTTTTTGTTTAATATACTTTTGCTAGAGATATGTACTTTATAAAAACTTCTTTAGCATATTTTGTTATTTTTTAGTGTCTCTAAAGTAATATTTGGTTTAGTGATTAGGTGGTTGAAATTTGAACTCTTGACCTCTATTTTACTATCATTGTATTCTCCTGAGATTTCCACTTAAACCATTGCTGTAATATTTTGCTCTATCTCTCCTCTTTCGTACCTGATTTTGTTATGATCGTCATAATAAAAAAAAGTCAGACATATATTCCATGTGTGTATTCATTTGGTCTATTGCTATATTTTTCATTATTTTTGTTAAAGCAGATTTTATTTTGAGATCAATTAAATGTCTTATAAATTATATTTGATCATTTAGATGACATTGTGTCCTGTTGTTCTCATTGTTTTAGTCTAATTAACATTGTTGTCATTAAAAAAAAAAACATAACAAAAAAACATTTATTAAAATTTTTTATTCCCTCTCTTACAGACATTATTGTTCTCCATTCCAATAAAGTAAAAATTTCAAAGAAATTAGCGTATCCTTAAACTAAACTAATTTTTATTCATATAACAAAGATTCAGACAATATTTCTTCTAAGAGCCAATAACGGGTTGGCTAAGTAGGAATGAAAAGCAAGTAAAATTAAGATGAAAGAAATATGAGTCAAAAATGAATAATGGTTGTCAGACTGGTGGGCTAAGTTGCAATAAAAAGCAAATAAAATTAAGATGAAGGAAATAAGTCAAAATTAATATTGACTAACTCTAATAAAACTATTACAATTAATAACCATAGACTGCTAAGCTAAATTCCAATGTAAAGCAAACAAAATTAAAATGAAAGAAATAGTAGTTAAAATTAATTATGGTTGCTTCATCTAATAATAAAATTCAAGATATTAAACAACCATTATTTACATTGTTTGGACTGTTGTCCTCATCTTTGTTGCCATATTCACAACATTCCTCAAGGACACATAATCCAGTGACTTGACCCAAAGAGTTGGGAGTGTAATACCTGGCTACAACAGTGGTGAACAAAAAAAACTTGGAGAGTTGAGTTAAAGGGATATAACTGAGACATCTTGAGGAGGCATGGCACATGGAACTAGAGCAATCTAGCCCGGTGGACAAAATAAAAGGTTCAGTTCAAAATTCTAATAACCTGAAGAAAGCTGGAGCATACAACAGCCAAAACGTTGTGGATATGTCAACAAAGATGAGGACAACAGTCCGAACAATGTAAATAGTGTAAATAATTACAATACCTCATCCCAGAAATATAGACAAATAATAAACAACTATTAAATATGGTCACATTGTATTATATATTTATTGTTTATTTATTATATATATTAAATTTGTATTATATATTGTAAAATAAACACTCTGTTGATTTTTCTTTTTAAATTTATTCTGCAGACAGAAATACATACTTTTTAAAAACATCTTTAGTACATTTTCTTATATTTTAGTGTCCTTCTAGTAATATTTGCTGGTTTAATGATTAATTCGTTGATATTTGACTCTGAACCTTTTTTTTCTTTATCTTACAGCTATCATCGTCATTAATTTTCTCTTGAGCTTTCCACTTATGCCATTGATGTAATATTTTGCTTTCTCTCTCCTCTTTGGTGCCTGACTTTATGATTTTAATATTCTTATGCTCTTTTTACTATTTCTGCTGAAGAACATTTTATTTCAAGAGCAATTAAGTCTTATAAATTACACTTGGCTATTTACATTGACATTATGTCATGCTGTGCCCATTTGAGACTAATGATGCTATATCATCAGAAAAATATATATATATATATATATATATATATATATATATATATATTTTATTTCTACTGTTATAGACATTGTTCTTTTCTGTTCTGATAAAGAAAAGGTTTTTAAAGAAATTAATTTTGTCGCAAAGAAAATAAATTTTATTTGCAGAAGAAAATGTTTGCAATTTCATAATTGCTATTCTTAAATGAACATAAATGTTTTTTTTTTTTTTTTTTTTTTTTCATTTTTCTTTTATTGATTAAACAATTATGTTTTTTCAGAACCATATACCCAATACAATATTCAGGTGGCAGCTATTACGGGTGGAGGGCGTGGGAACTTCAGTGATGTCTACCCTGCCTTAACTGACGTATCTGGTAAGATTTTTTTTTTCTTTGTCAGGTAATTAAATGAGGTAAATGCTTATCATGTTATCACCTCCTACTACTTTTGTGAACATTTTGCTTTTGGGGTGGGGTGGGGGGCTTATGCATCATTACATTGTATACTGGAAATACCTGATGGGAGGCATTACCCAACTCAGCACCATGGCTAACCACAGGTCTTTAATGATCATGACCCAAAACTTCAGGTTAATCACTAGTAACCTAAAACACACAACTGATATAATTCATTACCATCTATATAATGCAGATGAATTTAGTGTTCTCTAATTTCTTACCGCCCTTGATAACAATAAGAATTGTAGCACTTGATTGTGCTGAGTAATTTTGGAATGTTGCTTGTTTTCTGCAATTTAAAAGAAAACCAGATGCCATAAAATAATTATGATCAATAATACATTATTGAGCAAAATGAGTTGTGACATAATTTGCATGCCAATTATTATTGAACCTAATCTATTCTGCTTAATTAGTTTCAGTTCTCTTATTGTTTCTTGTGTTCTTGCAGCAATTTTTTAGACTTTCAAAATTCATGCAATAACACTCCCAAATTCACACTCCACTTAACATATTTTGTAAGCAGCAAGCTCTAGTTTTTCCTCGTCCCCCCTAACATTAATAACTATAAAAAGTATGCCTCTACATATTATTCAATAATTGTCAGTCTTTGACTTATTGATTTTCATGGAAATTTGCATAGTTTATGGGTCATCAAAATCAAGCAAGTGCAACAATTTAAATATCTGGGAAGCGTTTAACAGAAAGTGTGATACCAAAATCAGAAGACATATAGGGTTAGCAAAAGACGCCTTCCAAAAGTTAAGCAAAGTATTAAGAAACAGGAAAATTTTGTTAGAAACAAAAGAAAGAGTATTGAACTGTTATGTAATACCTGTCCTATGGCACTGAATACTGGACAATCTTCTCAGAGCTGAAGAAAAACTTGAAACAACAGAAATATGGTTCAACAGATGTATGCTGAGAATACCATGGACTGAACATGTGAGCAATAAGGAAGTTTTAGAGAAAATAGAAACACAAAAAGGTGACTTAACATCAGAAAGGACACATGGCCCAGGGTATAAAAGCATTCATTGAAGTCATCCAGTGACTTGACTAACATAGTTATGAGTTCAATACCTGGCCACAGGAGAGAAAAAAATGGAGAGTTATTAAAGGGAAAAAATCTGAAACTGAGATATCCAGAAGATGGATGTCATGTGGAACTAGAACAAACTTCCCCACTGGATGAAATAAAGGGTTCAGTTTGAAATTCTAACATATATCACCTGACGAAGGCTGGAGTGTACAACAGTCGTAATGTTATGAATATGATGACAAAGATGAGAACAACAGTCTGAACATTTTAAATAGTGTGATCAGAAAGAAATAGTTGAAATTTCTACGGTACATAATTAGGAAAGAGGGCTTGGAAAATTTGACACTCACAGGGTATATTGAAGGCCAGAGGAAAACAGTACATAATCTACCTAACAGGCAGAAAAGGGATTAGGAGAGATAGCAAAAAGACAAAATTTATTAAGTGCTACAAAGAACAGGAAATTGTGAAGAGTTATGATCGTCTTTATCCTGAAGGGACATGGCATATAGAAGAATATCATCATAGAAATAAAAACTATATTTGATATTTTACTGCTACATTATACAGGTACTTGGGTCCTTATGCATTCTCTTCAGCTATTTCTCTCTGCTATTGTGCAAAGTTTTGTGGATATTGTTTTAGAAGACTTGCAACATCTTTCTGCAGTTATCTCATGGCTCCAGATTAACTTTATGAAAAAAAAACTTTTTTTATTTTTTTTTTATTGCCTGGTAGAGTAATGGATTGCAGCTCGGATTAGAGAATTGGAGAGCTGGGTTTGAATTCCAGTCGAGTTCATTCACTTACGTGCTTATACCTTTGGGAAAGGTATTAGTCCCACTCTTCTCCCCTCAACTATGGTTAAATAGTAAGACAGACTGTTCTATATAGATGGCTGACTGCTTGGAAATACCAAGTGCTGTAAGCTTGGAAGTTTGGGTGGTGTAATGGATAATGGCTTGGAATTGTTAATTGGAGAGCTGAGTTCCAATTCCAGTTGGGTTTATTATATTCATTTATGCACAAATATCCTTGGGAAAGGTATGAATCCACCTCTTCTCCCACCCACCCCCTCTGTGGGTTAACCCTTATAATTTCCAAAAAAAAAAAAAAAATATTGCATACAAATATTTAGATTTCCGCTTTAAATAACCTACAGTTTGATAGGCCGCTAAACAAAAACAACCATCCAAATCTGAATTGCCTTGGGTGGCAACTGGTCTAGAAGGAAAATTGTGAATTTAAAATTGTATGTAGCCCAGTTGAAGCACATATGTAGCTAAGGAAAGGATCATGTGCATTGACTTGATGAATTAACTATGCTTGAGTAGCATGATAAAAAACACCATTAAAATAGAAAATGATTTTTAAAATAGTTAAAATATTAAAGCTTTAAAAATGAATAAATACAAATCAAATGAGTTAAATTTTGCTGTCATTTTTCTAAATCCACAACTCTATTTTTATTGAAACATTCCAGTTAAATCACATAGAATAATTTTACATGGAAATTTTATTCTTAGTTTTCATTCCGAGAGTAACAGACTTTAAGAATTCAATTCGATGCATTCTTTTTCGGTGTAAAGAATATTATCTCATTACAACTACTTGCCATTAAATAAGTTTTTATCAAAAACTTTTCATTTATAATTACCTACCCTGAGCTTGTGATTAAATTTTCAGTGTTTATCATTTTTAAAATTCTCCCTTTATTTTTAAATTTAGTTCATCATAAACAGAAAACATAAGTGTTGTTAATGGTTCTATCAAGGTTTTAACCAAAAATGGACAGAAAAAAAGTTTTTCTTGCTTTGTTTATTAAAGCAAAGTTAGTTCTTATAATTAGGTCCTGATGTTTTTCACATTTATAAATGATAGAAATATCTAAATTAAAATCCTTTGACATTCGTTTTGGGTGTCTTTCACTAGTTTAAAAGAAGCCATTTTGTGTGTTTGTTTTTATGTGTATGCTTCATTTATTAAAAACCCACCCATCAATGTTAAGAAAAAAAGAATTTTATTTCATTTTTTAAATTTTAAGAAAGTAGTTGCTTTTAAAATGAATACAACAGGATTTTAATTAAAAAATTTTATATTTTCCCAGTATCCCCTACTCAAAAAAAAAAAAATAAGCTGTCCCAAAGTCATGATCTATCAACCCCAGGACATTGTTAATCTTGAATCCTGGCTCATATATTTGAATGTAACTGTTTAAAATTTATGTTTTGTGATAGTGATGATGTCTCTAGGACAACAAAAAAAAGAAATTGGTTCATGTCATTATTTTACATTATTAAAATAATATAAAAACAGATGCAAAATTAATATTAAAAAAACCCCAAAAACCCTGTATTGTCTATAACTTTGAGAAGTCATTAACATACCCAGTAGTAGTCATAATAAATAATGTTCGACTACTAATCATTTCTGAGCACACCAGTCTAGGCTTACAGCCACATCATGTTGAAAGACAGGTTCCTGTATGATTGTAGCAAACTCAAATGTAAAATATAAACAAAAAAAAAGAAGAATTTGAATTCAAATAAAGCATTTACTTTCCTTTAAAACCTGTATCTCTCTTTCTACCCCCTCTCTCTCTAAACTTCTGTCTCAACCAATGAGAAGGCAACCCTTCAAATAAAAAGAAAAGACTGAACACTGCTGCAGAACAGCAGAAGTTTTCTCGTCCATGGGTCTAGACATTGTGACTAGAAATCTACCAAAATAAGAGAAGGCTCCTCACAACTTCCACTATATAAAACAAGAAAAAGAAAGGAACACCGAAAAATAAAAGAATTTTGGCCAATTACAAAAAACGAAACAAAAACTTTTGATGTTATCTGAAACCAAGCTTCACACCAGTAGTCTGGAGTCCTGACTTAAGAGATATAAACAGTCAGCCGCGAGGCAGAAGGAGAGAAGAGACTGTCAGAGAAATTAGCTCAGTGTGTCATGTGAAGAAGTTAAGCAGTCGTCTGCTTAAGACAATTTTCCACCCTTCTGAGAGTTGAGAAAACAGCAGATTGACATCTGCAACAAGTTTCCAAAATAAACACATTCTTGACTGCTATCAAAATATGTATATCAGGGGAGAGACGTATGACAAAATGGGAAAATATTTCACCATACTTGCAGATCTTCTATTATCACAATATTTAGTAACAAAAATGATGAAAAGAAACTAAATGATATCAGATTATATAACCAAAATGCATATTAAAAATTATTGCAAGTCCATTGCTATTTGTATGGCAAAGGTTCAGATAAAGTTTGTTCTTTAGTTCTACCAATTCAGGTGTTTACAGCTAGGACATACCATACCATAATACTTTTATGGAGTTGAATCATCTTTATTTCCATTGTATTCTAAAGGTAATAAGAAAGTTACACTTAGCTTCTTTTTTTCTTTTCTTTTATTTCAAAGAACTACTATTTTATACCCATACTTCTCGATTAATATTTTCAAGGACTTATGGCCATATCATGTTGAGACATTGGTTCCCTGTATGATCACTGAAGTTAAGCAATATTAAGCTTTCTCAGTACCTAGATGGGTGACCACTTGGGATTAAGCTTGGATGTATGTGTAGTATAATGGATAATGGTGCTAAATTGTTAATCAGAGAGCTGAGTTTCAATTCCAGTTGGGTTTCTTTATATTCACTTATGTGCAAATATCCTTGGAAAATATGTGAATCTTGCTCTTCCCAGCTATGGATTAATTCGTAAGACTTGTATCACTAAACTGTTATTATCTCTAAAAAAAAAATTGTTATAATCTAAAAATATTTTCTGGCTTTAAATAACCTGCAATGGGTTGATAAGTTATAGAAAATGAATCAATCAACTTCAAACTCAATCGTTATCTATCCTCCTTATCCTCATAATCTTCACTTCCTACCACTGCTTTTTTTGTTTATATCAAACACCCCATTCATTATATTTATTTTGATGCTAATCCTTGTATAGGCGGAAAATTTTTTTTTTTTTTTTAATAGAATGATTCCTACATTTTTTTGTTGGCTTCTGAATAATAAAAAAAGTAAAAAAAGCTATTGACCATAAGAAATGCTGATAATAACTGACTTGATGTTTTAAATGATGTCTGTTTTTACCAGGTCCCAGTGCTCCAAATATATTGAATCTGACTGTGCTGTCTCCAACCAGTATACACGTGCAGTGGGACTTACCAGAAGTGGTCTATCGAGACATTGATGGCTACTTTATACAGTTGACAACGATGGATAGAAATTCTTTCCAAATTACAAAAAAAGTTCCTAAGACAGAAACTGAGGTAAGTATCGTTCTCCTCTGTTTTGGTAAATCAAAGAACAGTATAAAATTAAAAGAACTGGTTCTACACTCTGATATTACAGAAATGTCAAAAGGATTTTTAACCAAATTCTGAATATTCTTGCCCAACCTTTGGATTAATGGTCTAATACTACACAACAGTCAAGTAATTTTAGTTTAAATGAATACAATCATTGTAAGCATTCTTCAGATTTGTGTTGAGAGGATTGAAAATAACTTTTCTCAATAGTCATCTATTATTCTGTTGTATTTTGAATATTATATGTGCTTTTGGGGATTGACTGAAAAAATTTAAAGACTTTAAGATGGGGAGGAGTTCAAGCTTGAATAGAAAATTTCAACATAGTCAAAGATTTCTTTCTATTTTTTTTTTTCAACTGATTTTCTGAGCAATTATTTTAAAAATTAATATTTGTTATCATTTTAATTTTCTCTGATTTAACTTATTTCAAAATGCACAAACTTTTTTTTTTTAAATTGGATAG